CCTCTCCTCCTCCTCTTTCTTCCGCTCCTCCTCCTTCCTCTCCTCTTCCTGTTTTCTCCTCTCCTCCTCCTCTTTTTTYCTTTCCTCTYCCTCTCTTTTCCTCTCCTCTTCCTCTTTTTTCCTCTCCTCCTCTTTCTTCCTCTCCTCTTCCTCTCTTTTCCTCTCCTCCTCCTCTTTTTTCCTTTCCTCCTCCTCTCTTTTCCTCTCCTCCTCCTCCTCTTTCTTCCTCTCCTCTTCCTCCTCTTTCTTCCTGTCTTCCTCCTTCTCCTCCTCCTTTTCCTCCTCGGTAGCATTTGGGGAACACAACCCTTGTCTGGAAAGGAGAAACTCATCAGGTAAAATCCACAAAGAATGTCTGAGCCTCACAATAGGAGTCCTGCCAGTCCCCCAACTCCTTTTGGCCAACCTCCCTCTCTCTGTGCCCCAGTCACCCTCCAGGCAGGATGGACACCCTTGGGCCACATCACAGCCCATTAGTTTCATTAGTTTCATTAGTTTCATTAGTTTCATTAGTTTCATTAGTTTCATTAATTTCACAGCTCATTAATCTAAGGCTCCAACCAGTGGGGGGAGAATGAGAAAAAGTTTGGGAATGCAAAACCAAAGTACTTGAGCCTTCAGATTCTCCTTGCTGCATGAAGAAGCAGCACGAAGAGGATGTGCTTTGGGGTCATTAGTCGCTGATTTGACCAAACCTCCTCGTTAATAAAATCCAGCCCCCAGGATAGGCCGTGCTCACAGCCCACAGCTTCTCAGGTTTGAGTACTAAGGGGAAAAATATCTGAAAAATATTTTTATAGCATGTCCAGAGTTTTCTGGCTGAGCAGAAGAGAGCTCTGGCGAGCCAGCGTGGCTCAGGACATCACTTGTGCTTAGGGAAGTTGAGCATTTCCCATGTGGGAGGTGGAAAACGCCGTGCTCGCTGGGCTCAGGGAGCATTTTGGGGTGCTCAGAAACCCTTTGTGAGTGTGCATGGACACCTCTCACCCCTCTGCTGCAACACAGCTCACTCCTGGCTCTGAACACACTGCCCAGCCCTCAGGAGACATCTGCAGGATTTTCTATAGGAAGCAAGGGTCAATTATACAGACACAACAACCATTTCTGAGTGTCATTACTGCTGGGAACGAGGTCCAAGGCCTCTTGCCTGGGRGCCAAAATCCACTTASAGGAGCCTAAGCAGAGCTTCCCTGRCCTGTCCTTTGCAGGGCACTGTGAGCATTCTCTGCAACAGCCTGCCCTAACCAAAATCGAGACACCAGGAGACATTTGCTCAAACACCTTTTGGATCCTACTGGGGGATGCCCCGTTTTTGGAARCAGGCACCTCAGCTTGCACTTACAAGGACAGATGAGCACGGACAGGTTCGTCCCCTCCCATGGCCACCACGCTGGCGACTGGAGAACACACAGACCTGCCCATCAGCAGCATCTCCCTTCCCCTACCTGCTTTCCTCTTCCTGAGGCTCCTCCTGGATGGTGGGAAGGGAACAAACATCAGCTTCGTGAGCCCAGGCCCTCATCTCACATGCGGCTTCATGAACGCGGCCATCGTCGATCTCTTGCATGATGAGATGGGTCTGCTCCTGCTCCCCAGGGGCTGTGGGAACTGAAACASCAATGGGGAGRAAAAAAARGAGGTGATGGAGAGGCCAGGGGTGRGGCTGGGCAGGTGCCAGGCTCCCTGTGCTCATGGGGCAGCGCTGAAGGAGCTCTCACCCCGCACAGAGCTGGGCAGCCCCGCTGCCCCTGAGCTGCTGCACAGCTGCCTTGGGCCCCTCAGGAGCAAGAAAATTCACCATTTTGTGCCAAGCRTAGCCAAAACCCTGTGAAGCCCTTGAGCAACTTGGTCTAGTGGCAAATGCCCCTGGAACTGGCTAAGTTTTAAGGTCCTTCCCRACCCAGATCRTTCTGGGATTCTGTAGAAGCCAAAACYCWCTGCACACAGATGACTGCTGCTTTCCCTGCACCCTGAGCCCCCTCCACCGGCAGTGACCTGGCCCATCTCCAGGCCTCCTTTTGTCTCTCCCAGCAATCTGGAGGAGCCCAAAGCCTTTCCCCATTGTGAACCCCCAGTGAGGCACTGTCCCAGCACATCCCAAGGGTCTGTAAGCACAGCTCAGAGCCCGCTCTCTCTCTCACAACACTCCAGCACCATGTCCTGTCCTCTCTAAACACTCCCCCAGGTGTAGGGAACATCCCACACCCTCTGCCACTCCCCAGCAYCACTGGGGCAAAAGCTATGGCTTGTGAAGCAGCTGCAGAGTGAGGGTCTGCCCCACGATGAGCCCTCTCCATCCCCAGGARTTCCCATCCTACCACGTCAGGCTCACACCACAGAAACAGCAGGAGGAAGCACATCCGCTTACTGTAAAACCAGTTTATTTTGAGGTCTGCCTGACAGCAAAACTTACATGACCACAGCAAAGCTAATAGGAAATGTGCAAATTGAACTACAGAAAGGCAGGAAACCCACACACAGTCAGATCTGTGCTGTATTTACCCACCCCACGRTGTCCACAATGCCTTTAGCCCGTTCTTTGTGGATCTCCATTAATGAAAACATGGATCAGCRATCAGGGAGATGCCTTTTAAAATAYACCATGGCTTTTGGATATGWTWTGTGAAAGTGAAGTAAATACTAAAACTGTGTCCTGGTACAAGCAGGATTCATGATRAACACAGGGATGGATCTCAGGGTGGTCTCTTGGCTCACAACTCATTGTTATGATTGCCTGGATGGTCCCAAAGAGATGGAACAGTGGGAGATCTTAACCTGGCCTGTCAATACATCAGGGGCCTTACTCAAAATATGGAAAAAGACTTTTTACCAAGATCTGTAGGGACAGGACAAGGAGCAACAGTTTTAAACGGAAAGAGGGGACATTGATATTGGACATAAGGGAGAAATTGTGCATTGTGGCTGCTCCACCCCTGGAAGTGTTCAAGGCCAGTTTGGATGGGGCTTGGAGCAACCTCATCTTGGGAAAGGTGTCCCTGCCCCCACAGGGGAGTTGGACCAGATAATCTTCAAAGGTCCCTGACAACCCAAACCAGTCTGGGATTCCAAGGTCTGTACCCAAAACCGGGGGTGTAGGGGCTGAGCCCAGTGTGCCTGCACTGGCCATGCCTGCCCCACACACCTCTGGGCTGGAGACAGCCCTGGAATCCAGACATCCCTGCTGCTGCTATTAGTGCTGCATCCCTGGAGCTGTGAGCTTCAGGAGGGAGCAGCTGTAGTTGGGAGCAAGGAGAGTTTGGGGTAAGTTCCCTTAGAAGACGAGCCCGGGCCAAGATTTTTAACCACTAACTCCTACTTATTCACCTAGAGATTAACCTCACCCACCTGATTTGCTGCTGCAAATCAGAGCCCTTTCCATTTGGGAGAAAACTCTCAGTTATGGAAGAAAAGCAATAAGGAGCTGACAAGAGCTTCAAGAGGTTTATAACCTTACACCTCGGAGGCAGAAGTTGACTCAAAGCACCCTGGAAATCTTGGRGTGAATTCTCCAAGATGTTGTGGGGGCACTGAGAGGGTTGGAAGTGCTGGGGGACTGCAGCAAGAGGCTTTGTGCCACTTTGTGCCACTTTCTGCCCCTGAGGTGTCCTGAGCAATGCTTTTCTACCATCCTATACCTTACAGCTCCCATCTCACAGACCTCATCCTGCAAAACCAATAGCTCCAGTTCCCAGAGCAAAGAGGGGGGCAAGTGTGACAGCCCTGGGTCTGGGGACAAGCCAGCATCCCCGTGCCAGTCTCAGGTCACCACTGCCCCAATTGGGAAGGAGCTAGAGACCATTTGCAGGTTCCCTTTTGCTTTTTCTCCCCAGCTGTGCTTTCTCCTCAGGCTGGTCTCATTTGGGTGTGGGAAGGGCTGGTTTGCCACGGTCTTCGTTTTCCGTTTGTTTCAGAGGCGCTAAGCCCCTTTGCCCCCTGAAACAAAAGGAGAAGGAAAACATTAATGAGCGTGCTGGCTGCTTGGTGCCAGGGCAAATTCCTGCCCGACCCAATCTGTCCCTTCCTTGGGCACGTGAAGTGACCTGGAGATGCCTCAAGGTACCAAAGCCAGCTGGGCACCAAGGCTGTGCCCACCAGCACACGCAGCAGCACCCCTGGCTTTGCCTSTCTGCGAGGTCCACGGCAGCACACACATCTCCAGTTTGTACAAACACACGGGGAAATGACTTCCCCGGGGATTTTTCTCTCTGAGGTTCTGCCAAGGGGCTGTTGGCATGGTGGGAGCATCTTCCCTGGGGGTGTGCAGCCTCCGTGTGCCTCAGCAGGTCCCTGCTGCCATCAGGAGCTCCCAGAGCCCCACCAGCCCCTCCTTTAAAGGGACAGAGCTCACACAGGGGTGTGCCCTGCCCACACCATCCACAGAGTCAGCCTGGCTCTGCATCTGCCCAGCATCCCCCAGTGTGGCTGTTGTGGGGAGCCCAGCCCCCCTGTGTGCTTGATCCCCTCCACAGCGAGCTGCAGTGTGAATCCTGTGAGCTCTCCCACAACCATGCAAACTCACACCTAAAACACTTCATCCCAGAGTTTTGTTTTCCTGGGGTTCCTCCCTACACACCTCACACCAGGCCAGGCAAACGCCAAAGGAGGGCAAGAAAGCAGCAGATTTGAACTCCCTTGTAACTCTTTGATCAAACCCCTCCTGCAGAACCCCCTCCAGCACAGAACTTGAAATCAGCTCTGACCTCAAAACCTGAGCATGTGGGATGCTGCACTGGAGATTCCCTCAGCCTGAGTTTTACCAAGCCCGTGCCACAACTCTGCAATAGCTCCCTCTTTTCAAGTGTCAACAACATCTCATGGCTTCCCTGGTRGATTCCAGGGGCTCCCAAGCTGGCACACAGGGCAGACCAAGGGATAGAAGATGCCAGTGACCCCTCTTCCCAGCAACTTTTCTGACAAGCTTGGCAAGCAAACCGTCATGAAGGGATGGAGCCATCACTTACGTTGTTCCACAGGACTGGAGGTGGCCACTCCCTGCCAAGAGGAAAAGGGAACCATGAGACATTGCCCATTTTCAATAACCCTAAATTTCCACCCTCAATGCCCCATTTTCAGTAAAGAYAGCCCTTTCACCCTAAACACCCCATTCTCGTGGCAAATTGGATGGCTTGGCCATGGGCACAGGCATCTCCACACACGATGGCACAGGGCAGGGGCACATCAGCGAGCTTGGCTGGTGGCCAGGGAAGGAAAGCAGAGCTTTGTAAAGCTGCTGCTGCTGCAGCTTCTCCTCAGAGATGGGACCTGGGTGAGAGGCCAGAGCTGCACAGAAGGGCAAGGAGAAAGTAAAGAAAGCACACACGATGGGATCTCATGCTGCTTAGAAGGCAAATACTGGTTTTCATCGGCTGAGCAGGTCACGGGTGTTTGTTCTCTTGAAGGAATTTGGTGACAGCCCAGAGCACAGCAGCTCCCAGCCCTGATCCAGCAGCAGCTGCATGGCAGGGGATGTCCTGCTTACAGGCACATGGTGTTCCCGTGCTCTTCCCCAGTCCATACCTGTGTGTCCTGCTTGTCCCTCGTCACCGGCTGTGGCATCACCTTCTCCAGCCCCTGGACAAACCAGCTGAACATCCTGGCAACGAGAATCCACTGTCAGAGCTGTCAGACAGAGCCTTTGCCCCCACCCAGCCGTCCCTCTGGCCACCAGACCCTGGCAGAAGGTGCCACTGTGGTTACCTGGTGCCATCCACGGCCACAGAGCGAGGGGTGAGGGTGGTCACCGGCTCTGGCTGCCCCTCGGCTGCTGCTGGGGTGCTCTTTGGGGCTGAAGTGCTGGATTTTGGCTTTGCCTGGGCTTTAGTCTCTTTTGTGCCTGCTCAGGTTTATTCAAAAGAAGGAGGAGGATAGACAACAGCAGTCATAAATGGTTGGGAAGCAGGGCAGGCCAGGAAGGGTCACCCCTGGCAGAGGGACAGGCCTCGGGGGGTTCCTTGGCAGCCTCCCCCACTGGGGACCCAGCCCGGGACGAGGTCTTGGGCAATTTGGGGACAGGAGTGGTGTGGGGGTGGTGCCGTGATGGCAGGGTGTGTGTCTGTGTGTCCCCACCCATCCTGGCACAGTGGGAATCCCGGGCACAATGGGAATCCTGGGCATGGGGACGAGGGGCAGTACCAGTCCTGGAGCCCGTCCCCAGCCCCTGTCCCCATCCCCGGAGCCTGTCCCAGCCCCTGTCCCCCAGGCCCGGAGCCTGTCCCCAGCCCCTGTCCCCAGTCCCTGTCCCCAGTCAGGCTCTCAGAGGGACCCGGGACAGGGGATGGCATCGCTCACCTTCCGCCGTGCCTTCGCTCTTCTTGGGCTCTGTCTGCAGGGGGACACAGGGACACACAGGGACAACACACACTGTGGCCTCAGGCCACCCCAGCTGACCCACATGCTCAGCCCCACACACCCCCCGGTGCTTTCGGAGACCCAGACAGCACCGAGAGGTCTCTTCTTGCTCTGCWGAGTTCCCTTGGGGTTCTCCTCCCCCAGGTCCCCTCTGGGATGTGCAGGAGGATGAAGGCAGGGAGCCCACCCAATTCTCATCTCTCCCCGGCAGGCCCTCGCTCTTCCCGAGCTGGGCAGTGCTCACCTCCGGYTTTTTCATCCCCTCTGGCTGCGGCACGATCCTCTCGAAGCCCTGTGACAGCCAGCTGAGCACCCGCTTTCCTGCCCTGCGGGGAGAGCGCCGCGCTCGGGGAGCTCATCCTCACCCTCTCCCTCCCCATCCCCGCCCCAGCCCCGCCGGGCACCCACCACTCCTCCGGGCTGGGATCCTCCTCGACCTCGRAGCCTTCCTCCTCGGGATCGAAGGGGGTTATCTCTGCAAGGAGAGCGCTGCTGTGGGCACGGGGAATCGGCGCTGCTGGGAGCTTCAGGTGCCCCCGTCAGCCAGCGAAAAGGGTGCCGGCATCACCAGCCAGGGATGTGGGATGTGGGATGTGGGATGTGGGAGTCCCAGGGTGCTGCAAGTTATGAATTCCCAGCTCTCCTTACCCAGAGCATCTTCGTCCTCATCCCCAAGGATCTGGACCTCTGTCTGAAAAGCCAAACAGATTGTCTGAAAACCTGACAGCCAAGAGGGGAATCATCCCGCTGAGCAGGGAGGGAAAGCGGCCCTTTCCGCAGGGGTGGGTGAAGGCAGAAACCCATGCAGGGCAGGTTTAGTGCTCCCAGACAGCACTGGGAGAGGGATAAAAAGGGAAAAAAAAAGGTAAAAAGAGGTGGAAGCTCAAATACACCAAACCATTGCCCAAATCTGTCTTTTACCTGGTCCGCAATGTCGATGCTCGTCTCGAAGCTCTTTCCAAGTGCCTGCAGCCCTGGGGCTGGGGCTGGCTGGGGAATCACCTTCTCCAGCCCATTGGAGAGCCAGGAGAGCACACTGCTCCCCACACTGCCAGGGAAGAGTGTGAGTCAGGCTGGGGATGCCATCCAAGGCATCCAGCCCCCAACAAAAAGCAAAATCCCAAACAAATAGGGCTGCACACTGAAGTGTGCAAGAGCCGTACCTCTCAAACACAGAACCTGTGTCCTCAGGGACCACAAAGGTCACTTTCTTCTCGGTTTCTTCAGTGGCAGCAGTGAAAAAAAAATAAAAATACAAGCTCCTATGAGCACTCTGGCAGCCCCCAGGATGCCAGGCAGGAGTGGCACAGGGTAAAGGAACACTGATGTGCAGCCTGAGCCAGTGTGGAGCTTACCCTCAGTGCGTGCCCGGTCAGCAGCATCCGTGGGGCCACCGGCCTTTCCTGTTGGTGCCTTCAGGGCAAAGGCAGAAGGTGTCAGAGAGCCAGGCATGGGGAGCACTGTCCCTGTTCAAAGGTGCCTGCAAACCCCGGGGACTCCCCGTCCTTCCTGCTGCTTCCCAGCAGCTCAGAGCAGGGATGTATCCTGGCCCCAAACCCTCCTGGGCATGCTGTGGAGCACTGCTGGGTGCTTCAGCGCTGGGCATGGGTGCAGAGGCACCAGGCAACTCTCATCACTCTCATGGTGACCCCATTACCCCCCAAAGTGCTCACCTTAACTGGCTCTGGCTCCTGCACAGGGCTCTGCTCTGTCACATGGGGTGCGGGGGGCTGGGGCACCACCCGGTCGATCCAGCCCATCATCCGGCTGGCTGCGGGCACTGCCGAGGGCTCTCCAGCTGGCAAGAGGCCAGCAGCCGGGGGGCACACTCCCCAGGGAACACCAGCTGCTCACGCTGTCTCCAGAGCAGCCCAAAAGTGTCCTYGGTGTCCTGCTGTTTCCACTGTGTCCTGCTTGGGAAACACGGCACTGCAGCACAGCCTGAGCAAAGCCAGCCCAACTGCTCACCCCTCACCGCTACTGTGGGCAAACTACACACTCTGTTGGAAGCTCACAGTTAAACTTGCTTTTCCTAAAGGTAGCTCCTCATTTATTATTTTCACAACTRTCCTGACTGGGAAGCTATTGCAGATAGGTCACAGAAGCTGTGATGGTCTGCTCAGGGTCCTCTGCTCTCCCCATCGTTTTTCATTGAACAGTCATTTGAACAGAGTATTTTTAGGAGGAAGTTCATGTCTGAACACACATAACTGCTCTTTCTGCCCCTACAAAACAATTCTGCTCCCTCACCTTTCAGCCACACCCCAGGGACATGGGGCTGCTGGGGCAGGACTCTGGCAAGGAAAGAAAAGGCAGCCAGCACAGGCTGCTGTGGTGTTGATAGGATGGGTGAATGTTGCAGAGCAGGGATTCAGCTGCCCACACTCTGGTTGCTCAGTCATTTTGGATCCCTTCTTGAAGGAACCCCAGGCTGGGATACAGCACCAGCGAGCCAAGTGATGCACATTCACAGGCTTAGGTACCTGACAAGGGCTGGGGGCCCTCTGCCCAAAATGCCCCTCTAAAGATACCCCACTCTGCTCAATGAGGGGCTCAGGAGCACCAGGTGATACCAGCAAAGGGCAAAGATCCTTGAGCTCCTTCCAGGCCAGCCAGAGACTGCAGAGGGGTTTCAATCCCGGTTACGCACATGATCCCAGCCCCACACGCAGCAGGTGGAGRCTGGAAGCTGCTCAGCACTGGGTTCTTTGCATTAACCCCTCGTGCWGCTGTCAGGCATGCAGGACATCTCCATTCCCTTGAGATGGCTCACTGGGGGCTCTCCAGAGCCTGGCTCCTTAAACCTAAACAGGCCAGAGCTTCTAGGAGGGGGTATGTGTGTCCTCARCCCTTTGTTTGCTGCACCTTGGCAAGCCCAGGAGCCAGGTTTGGGTGCAGCTGAAGCATCACTCCACACAGCACACTCCAGTCTCCTGGAGACTCCCACACCCCACAGCTGGACAGAAGGGCTGTAAAACACCTTCTGAGAGGCCTGACCAGAAACCAATTAAATTACCTTTTATCTCTAACTGGGTGTAAGGGATTAAGGAGCTGTGAATGCCCTGGGAACAGCAAGGCAAAGCTAGCAGAGGCATTTCCACCCATGCTTTGGCACTTTCACAGGTCCCAAAGAAGCCCACAGCTGAGCCCAAAAAATCCCAAAGAAAGCCCCCTGAGGCTGCAGCGAGCCCCCCTTGTCAGTCAAGGGCTTCTCCTCCCTCGACATGAGCATGTGCAGCTGTAAAAGCCCGGAGCACACGCCTGTCCTTGGTCTGGGAAGGAAAGCAGAGAGCAAAAGGCATCCCTTTGCCAAATCTGAACAACAAACAGGCAGAAACATTTGTGGGTCTCCACAAAACTAGCTTCTGGAAGGAACAGGAAWAAGTAGCCAGGATTTGCTTGCAATGGCATGAAAGAACTGGCAGTCTCATGTATTGCAGGCACCCAGCGGTGCCACCACCTGTTGTGGCATTCCTTCTGCCAGCCAGCAAGGGCCTTAGTCTCTAAGAGCAAGAAGAGGGGCACAGACCCACGGCCCCATTTGGAGCAGGGAGCACCGTGGCCTTTCCTTCCCCCCAGCACTGATCAAACCCTCTACAGTTCCCACCCTTGCAGCATCACTCCCCGTGGACTCGCTCGCTCCCCAGCACAGCTCATCCTCCAGCTCTGTGTCGGAGCCCAAACCCCCTTGGGAAGCGCAGAGGTGGCCCTGCAAAGATCCCAGCCGCGTCCCTCGCCTCCATCGCTGCCACTTACCCCCACAGGCTCACCACTGCCTCCCTGGAAAGCCACCCCTGGCATGTGTAGGCTCCCTTGGCYGCTGCAGTTCGCCACTGACCCCCCCAAACCCGCTCAATCCGCTCAGGGCTCTGCGAGGATTAGCTCTGCGCTGCCTGCAAATGGGATTAGTGRCACCCAGCTGTCCCGAGTGCCCGGGCTCCCAGCAGCCAGCCTGCTTCTGCTGCGGGGTGCTGCAAAAAAAACCCCAAAATCAAGCAGGTTTGAGCACCCTCGAAATCCCTGGAGGCAGAAAAGCTGCCCCAGGCACTCACCAGCAGCGCTGTGGCGAAGGCAGAGGTCTCACCCATGTGCCGGTGTGTGCAGGGACATGCACAGGAACAGCAGTGGAGCTGCTGAAGCCCCGTGGGGTGACGCAAGGTGATGTGTCCAGGGTGGTGTGCCAAGGGTGCTCCACCCACAGCCCTGCCCCAGCTCCAGAGGACCAGAGCAAATCTGTGCTGGGTTGAGCTAAGCCTCCCCTTGCTGAGCCTGCCAATTGCTGCTTGATCCGTTTACCTCCAGCCCTGCACGACTGCCAGCCTTTCCCACTGCCCCTAATCTCGGCCCCAGTGACACCCTGGAACCCAGGTACCAGCATGGCTTCTCTGCTCCATGTCCAGCGTGATTCTGCATGTCCAGAGCTCCCCGGAGCAGCGCTGGAGCTCCCTGACCCAGCTCCTCCTTCCCTGACCCCATGGGTGTCTCCATCCTGGTGGGCAACAAGCAGCCACCTGTGTGACAGGCTCCTCTCTTGCTATCACAGAATGGGGTGATGCAAAACAAACCCTGTGGAAAAGTTTGAAGAGTTGAGTGTGGGGCTGGGATCTCAGAGCACAACATGCATCAGCTTCTGCCCCTTGAACAGCTGCTCCTTTGTGGCAGGAAGAGACTCCKGCCTGCTCCTGCCCTGAAGCTCTCCGGGAGGAGCTGTGCCCTGGGGAGGCTGACTTTAGCAAGGGGCAAAACCACACTGCAGATTCTGCTTTTGTTTGYTTTCAGCCCCTGGAAGCCTGCTCAAACTGTGCATCTTCTGGTTACCAGGAAGATGAGCCATCTTTCTACTTCAAAAAAAGTTCAGGGAAAAGAAAGAAAACATGAAAAAAAMCCCCAAAAAACAGAGCTAGACAGCACAAAGACAGATGAGGAAGCAGTGCCTGGCACATGGCTTCCACTCCAGAAATCTTACAAGCCCACAGGAAGGTATAAATAACTATAAATTTATTAGTAAAGCAAAACCATTTGACACTCACACAGAAGAGCGGGATGTGTTATTACAATATATATACACACATACATGGAGTATCATCTTAGAAACACACGGAGAGCAGTGTTAAAGGCACTGCAAGCCACACAAACCTCAGCAACCTTGGCTGCAGCTTCTGACAGCCCTGGGAACTCTACCGGAGTCATGAGCACAGGTTGGGAGGAGCCCAAGAACCTCACTGACCATGAAGTCCCTCAGACCCACGGCTTGGAGGCACTCGAGAGACAAACCCACAGTCCAACTCGCACCTGTGGTTCTGCTCTCCCCACTGAGCATCCCAGGCACGCTGTGACAGCAGCATCTTCACATCCAGGAGGTGTCAGAGGCAGCTGCCAGGAGATGCTGCGGAGGAAGCCGGGCAGCTGGGGAGGAGCTGGGTGCTCACCAGGCCTGGGGGGAGCTGCCAGCCCCAAACATCAYTGGCCTGTTCTTACTGAAACTCAGCAACCTTCCTACAGGTGAACTCACCACCAGTGGAGAAAGAGTCAAACTGATGTGTAACAAGAGGGCTTTGCCTATTTTTAATGGCCAGACTTCAGYTGCAGCCTGAACATCATGGTAAATACCCAAAGGAAGCGCAGATATTCTCCTCCCTCCTCTCCTCCCTGCAAAAGCAGGCTTGAGAGCCCAGAGATGGTCCCAAAACTCTGCCAGAAAATGCTTTCCTCTTTGTCCCCCAGCCCAGCATGTGGGCCCCGAGACCAGAGTGTGCACATCTTCTCACCCAGACTGCAGGGATGGCATCTGCTCATCAGAGAGCTGGCAGGGCACCGGGGCACAGCCGTGGTCCCAGGGGTGTCCATGGCACAGCTAACTCAGCTCAGCTGCTGCTTGAGGCACAGCTGCTCCACAGGCACTCCCAGGGGAGCTAACTGCACACTCCAAGCCCACCCCAGTGCTGTGACATCTCCCCAGGAATGTCAGACAGTCCTTCATTGACTTCATCCCCAGCCTTGAAGATGTGACAAAGGAACACACCATGGAAATGGGCTGYTCCCACCCCAATCCCCATTTCCTCCAGCTCTGTTCTGGCTCTTGTTCCTGGCCTGGACTTGCTTGCCAGATCATGGACAGGATCTGGCTGAACCAAGCTGCCAGGTCACAGGCATTCTCATGTCCAGCAAGATGGATGGCCTCCTGAGGGGAAGGACCAGAAGCATCCACTGAATTCCAGCAAGATTCAGGTCCTAAATACCTGATTTACCATCAGTGGTTTGGTATCACCTGCATCCAGCCTCAGCCTGGGAAAGGAATTTGGGGTTGGGAGAGGACTGGAGGGGGTGGGAATGAAGGAAGAGACTTCACAATCAGTATGGGAAAAGGGATGAAAAAAAAACCCCACTGTTTACAAATAAAGAATTGGACAAAGAGAAAAGAAGCTGAGAACGTCTTTTAAAAGCGTAAGGTGTGGAAGGGAAGGGGCTGAGACAGCTAAAGGCATCCTGTAGGTAGGGTGAGGGGAAGTGAAGATCAGTAAAAAGCCCAGGTCACAGACTACCTTTTCCTGGACCAAGGAAGCCAGAGGAACAGCAGCTGTAGAAAGCAGGATTTATGTCCTGGAGAACATCCACACAACCACTGCCCTATCTAACCCTCCCTGCCGCCTCCCCACAGCACCCTAAGCTCASACTGACAGCCAAAGAGAAAACAGGGGCTACCCAGTCCTACATAGCATCCTCAGGTGRTCTGGCAACCAGGTCTTGAAGTGGCATGAGCACTTGCCACGGGGCTGATGGAACACCAGCTCCAGCACAGCAACTCTCTTAGGTGCTGCAGGGCAGTGAGGGATGCCAGAGGCTGAGCAGAGGCAGGAGCCTGCAAGTCGCTTGAAATAAACCCCAGAAGTGAAGTGCAACAGGTACAGAGTAGAAACATGGTTTACTCCCCAGAGGGCTTTGGCCCCAACTGCTCTTTGGTTTGGAAAGGGAACACCAGCAGAGAGCCCTGCAGTGTRATGCCCCAGGGACACAGCCCCAGGCCAGCCCCTGCCCACGCAGCACTGCTCCTGACACTCATGTGCCTCCTGCTGCTTCCACCACCTCACTGGACCAAACACGACCTAAAGGCACAGCAACGGAGATGGACCTGCTTCCCCTACCCCTGCAGGCAACACTGCTGCTTCCAAATAGAAAATGCTCYTATAAAAATATACCCAAAGCTCTCAGTGGCCACTCAAGTGCCCATCCTGCACAGATCCTCCACCTGCAAGCTCAAGTTGCATATTCTCCATGGGCTTTTGCTGGATTTGGGCTGCTGCAGGGCAGCAAACAAAACAAAAGAGTGAGTCACCATGGACTCACAGCCAGTCCTAACAATGAGGCTCTAATCCTGCACCAAGATGTTTTTGAACCTGGAGGCACCTATTCTCAGGCACCAGATGATGACCTGGACCTGGGCTCATCTCTGCCAAGCTTTCCCCTGCACCCCCTTCTCTCCCTGACACCGGGCCCCATGCACACAGCCCTGATGAGTCTCATCAGGATGTTGCCACATCCTAAGCAGAGCCACAGCTCCTCACAGGGCTTTCCCAGCTGCTCAGCACAAGAGAAACATCCCCCAACAGTCCCCAGGTCCAGATATACCAAGGGGACAGGATGTGGCACCTGCACAGTGTAGAGCTGTGTCTGGGACTCACCACCATCCTCCTCTGCTCCAGRTGCCAGCCAGTCACCCAGGCAGCCCCCTCGGGCTCCTGGGGAGGGAAGGRAGCAGGGCACAAACAGGTCATGATTTCTCTAAACCCTCCTCTAGCCAGCAGCTGCCCCAGAAAGAAGCAGCAGAGGCACAAAAGCCAATGGAGGCTGCAGCCACCTCCATCTCCCACCCTCCTCCTCCTACCAAAGATGAGCCTCTCTGCAAGCTCTGAGCCCTGGGCACTGATCCTGGCTGCCAGTGCTGTGCTCAAGGGCTCAGGGCAGCCACTGGACCTGTGGCAGCTGTGCTGGGTAAGAGCAGAGTGTACCATGGTCCAAGACAGGAACACAGCCAGGGTTCAGGTAGGTGCCACAGTCCTCATCTGGTCCCACACTTGCAGCCTCCATCACCACCAAACCCTTCTGTRAAGACAGGATTAGCCTTCCTTGGTTTGGACTCTCTTTTACTCCTACAGAAAAGCATACACTGAACTTACTACATATTAAATAGCAAAAACCAGCTATCTAGAACTAAAGAGCKCTTTAAAAATCCAAGTTACCACATCTCTTTTTTTTTTAAAGATCCAGTATGACATCAAGTTAAACTATACAGTTTTTTAATGAATTTTAACAAACTGCTTTAAAAAAGAAAAGGTAAAACAAAAAAAAAAAAAAAGAGGAAAAAGAAACACAGATGGAACTCTTGGTAGGAAGTTCTACATCTTTGAGGCAGCACAAAGTAAGACAACCATCACGGGTCCCTCTTCCTTGGGCAGCAGAGAGTACAGTCTGTTTTGATCTCCTTAAAGTTGCAAATGACTCAGCCCCAGGGTCTAACCTGTCACTGCACTGTCCCAGCCCCTGAAAATGCACCYTGTTCCCTCTCACTGTGCCAGAAATGGAAAACTAAAGCCTTTCTCCATCTTTCAGACAAGTATCCCTCAACAGAGATGCAGGCCCAGTCCAACCCTCTGCAAAGTTAATCTGTCAACACTTGCCACAGACAAGAGTTATTAACCTTGTACTAATCACTTGTGCAGCACATGGGCAACTAACTGGCCGCTGTTCACAACTGGCAGCTCACTACAACCCCAGAAGAGCACCAGCCAACACCACAGAAGAGCTGAGGCTGGCAGGGACCTCTGAAGATCATCAGCTCCAACTCCTGGCTTGCACAGGGTCAGTTACAGCAGGTTGTCCAGGACCACATCCAGTCAGGGACTGAACATCTCCACAGATGGATACTTAACATCTTAATATCTCCAAAGATAAAGAGGGGAATGCTGGGGGACAACCTAGTAAGCACATCTTCAACCTTCAAGGCATCTAACTGATATGTAATGGATCTCTTGGACATGAGAAGCCAGCAAATTCCTGCAGAGGAAAACACCTGAGGCTGCATCAACCTTGCTAGGGGAGATTTATTTTTAAGTGATGTTTACAAGAAGTGTGCAAAACCTGAAAAATACAGACGAGGTAAAGAAAGGGGAAAGGGGTAAAACAGGACTCCCGCAAGAAGGGAAAAAATAGACCTCTCCTTTAGCCACTGCTAACCTTGCCCTTCCCATGGAGCTGAGCCTGCAGTCYGAAAGGATTCTCCTGGCTTGCTCTGGTTCCTCCAGCAAATCAGACACCAAGCCCCTGGCACATGCTGTGGGTTACTGCTGGCCATGGCAACACCTCTGCAGTTGTAGGTTATTGTAGTGTTTAWCTCACCCATTAGTGTTGGAGCTGTGGCAGCTCTTTGCCTGACCCTGCTGGAGGTGCCACTAACAGCCYATGGGGAACAAAAGGGGCTGGGGGCAAGTCTCAGCAGGAGGGGCTGGGTCCCTTGGGAAGCAGCTCTTAAATGCCAAGCTCTTGGTTGGGAGCAGGGTATGAATGCTGTCACAGAATTATGKAATTGTTAGGGTTGGAAGGACCTTTAGAGATCATCTAGTCCAACCCTCCTGCTAAGTTAGGGTCACCTAAAGCAGGTTACACAGAAATACGTCCAGGTGGGTTTTGAATGTCTCCAGAATGGAGAATCCATGGCCTCCTCCTGGGCAGACTGTGCCAGTGCTCCTTGCCATGCTTTCTGGTAGCAGCACTGTGCTGCCTACAGTTCCCTGTGCAGCTGGCAGAGACAGGGGCAGGCAGGCTCACTCAGAACCCCTGCAGAGTGTGACAGCCAGCGACTGCAAAAGCAGCAATGCCAAAGTGCTTTTTGGAGCTGTGCAGCCCCATGGCTTTTCCCTTTCAACACTCTAGAAGGAGGGAGAGCAGGGGAGGTTGGGGTGGTCAATCAACACTAGCAATCTGAAATGATGCCCTCAACTGAGCTTGGACCAAGTTGGGAGACCCCAGCAGCAGAAACCTGCTACCACCACGCTGAGCAGCACACCCTGGGACAAGGGAGAGCTGGCTCTGCCTTGCTCCTAAGCCCTCTCCAGGAGGAGTCACCCAGCCCTCTCCACCRACCCTGCCAGGCAGGACAGGGGAAAAAGGCTGCACACAAAGAGCTGGTGCTTGCAACAGGCAGCTGAGCTCCCAGGACTGGAACTGCAGGTACAGCATGAACTACAGTCCAGGGAACACCAGGCATATACAGGCATCATTTCCTCTCTCCATCCCCTTCCTTTCCTTTCCACCCCTTTGAGATGTTCATGCTGTCTGCTGCTACTTCGATACAGGTGGCACATCAACCACTGGGGCCACAGGAAMGTTTACCTGCCCACACACCATACCTCCCCTTTCCCCCACATTCCCTGGAGGTTGCCAACACCCGAGGAGAGGGAAGGGGAGGCCGAGGCTCGGGAGYGTCCCATGCAAGCTGAAAGCCGCCGCGGGACGGGAGGCTCATGGCAAGCAGGCAGCCACCTGGTAGGCACCCTCGGCCGTGTGCTGGACGCTGTGCTCCTGCAGCAGCCCCAAGTCCAGGAACCGCTCCCCGCACCACATGCACTTGTACTGCTGCTCGCGGGCGTGCACGCTGTGGTGCTTGTTGAGGTGCTCGCGCTGCTTGAAGGCCTTCTCRCAGGAGGAGCACTTGTAGGGCTTCTCGCCCGTGTGCACGCGCCGGTGGCGCTGCAGGTCCGAGGCGTACTTGAACCGCTTTTCACAGTCGGGGCACTTGAGGGGCTTCTCGCGGGCCGGGTCGCAGCGGTGCTGCACGAACTCCGAGGAGGAGAAGAAACGTCTCTCGCAGAGCGTGCACTTGAGCGGCTTCTCGGCGCAGTGGGCCAGCTGGTGCTTCTGCAGAGCCGAGGCCCGCTTGTAGGACTTGTTACACACCGCGCACTTGAAGGGCCGCTCCGCGTTCTGCACGCACTTGTGCCGCAGCAGTTCCGAGGACTGGTTGAAGCCTTTCTGGCACACGTTGCACTTGAAGAGGTTCTCTATGCCGTGCACGTGCTGGTGGTACACCAAGTGCGAGGGCTGCACAAAACCCTTCTCGCACAGGTTGCACTTGAAGCGCTCCTCRGCCTTGTGCGTGCGGCGGTGGCGCATGAGCGCGTACTGCTGCTTGAAGCTCATCTGGCACAGGTCGCACTTGAAGGGCCGCTCCTCGCTGTGCGTGCGCTCGTGCTGCCGCAGGTCCGAGGGGCGCTTGAAGGCCTTCTGGCAYTCCCCGCAGCGGAAGGGCCGCTCCCCGCTGGGCGTGCAGGGGTGCTGCAGCAGCTCCGAGGACTCCTTGAAGTGCAGCTCGCAGACGTTGCACTTGAAGAGGTGCTCCCCCGAGTGTGCGTACATGTGGCGCACCAGGTGCGAGCGGTGCTTGAAGGTCTTCTCGCACACCGTGCACTTGTAGGGCCGCTCCGAGCTGTGCGTCCGTTTGTGGTGCACCAGGTGGGAGGACTGGCTGAAGCTCTTGTCGCACAGCGTGCACTTGTACGGCTTCTCACCCGTGTGGATGCGCTCGTGCCGGGACAGCTCYGAGAGGTGCTTGAAGGTTTTCTGACAGATGGAGCAGCTGTAGGGCTTCTCCGAGGGGTCGAGAGGCTGTGGATGCTCTACCTCRGGAGGTTTGTAGGTCTTCTCACAGATGGAGCACTTCATGGCGTTGCCATTGTGGACGTTGTGGTGCTGCGCCAGCGAGGTCAGGAGGGAGAAACCCATCTTGCAGACTCCGCACACAAAAGGCTTTTGCTCCACCTGGATACACTGATGCTCGAGGAGGTCGGTGGCCTGGTGGAAGATCTTCAGGCACTGGGTACACTGGAAAGAGCGGTCATGGCCTGGCAAGCACTGGTGCTCGTGGGGATTGGAGAGGTGAGCGAGGTCATGGCCACACACACCGCATTTGTGGGATGGCTCTCCAGCCTGGATGGGGGCGTGCTGGTGGTGCTGCAGTCCGGGGTCTGGCTGGAGCAGGATGCCGTAGACAGCACAGCCCAAGGGGTTGTCAGCAGTGCTGGGAGGGATGGAGTGATCTGGGAGGGCGGCTGCCCCAGAGTGGTGCTGCTGCGGTGGTGGCGGCTGCTGTGCTTGCTGCTGTTGCTGCTGCCAGCTTTCTGACATGCTTGGGAAAAAAAAATGGGAATTTAGCAGTGATAGCTTCAGCTTCCCGGTTGAAAGGGTTCAAGTAAAAGCAAAACCGAAAGATTCTGAGATCCTGATTCCCAAAAACTGATCCCCTGAATYTGAGCCCAGAAATCCAGCCCACAGCCAGGATCTTGGGAAGTAAAGAGGCGACTGAGACACCGGAGCCTCCTCCTTAGATCAGCACAAGTTCTTTATGGACTGATTTGGTCTGGTTTTCCTTCTTTTGGACAAAAGAACAGCAGGCAGAGGCAAGTGCCTTGAAGACAAGAGGAGGCTCTTCTCTTTGCTGGCTGTGATGTGCTCACACTCGGGAAGGGCGCAGGAAGCAGCYCAGGGAGCAGCTCTCTGTAGGAAAGAAGACAGGTCATGTCAGGTCAAAGAAGAAACACAGGCAATTCTCTATCAACCTCTCCCCATGGCTCTCTTTGAAAATTCTCCAGCATCCCAGCAAAGCTACGAGGAAGCCAGTGTAGGGGAGCTAACCAGAACCAGAGCCCCAGCTGCTGCTGTRCAAAGGGACAGTTCTCAGCCTGTAAAGGGCTGGGCTCTGCCCAGACACAGCCAAGCACACTTTTGGGTGTTGTGCTCTCATGAGGCAGCACAGCTGCCCAGGGCCCGCTCAGYTGAGCCCTGAGTGGGTCACTGGATCTGCAGCACCACTGGGTTCTGAGAAATGGGTCTCTCCACACAGGCCGTGCACCGAACACCATGCCATCAAAAAGCTACTGGGTTAGATTTTACAGGTGTCAATGCAGGTCCTAACATGACAGCACCCCAGCTGAAACAGCTCTGTGAAGCAGTTCTGCTCCTCCTGCAGCCTGGATATCAAGCCCGTTATTCAAGGCATACATGCAAAGCATTTCCTCCTCTGTGGACAGTGCTCGTAGACTGGAAGAGCCAGAGARCTCAGGAGAAAGTTTGCCCTCAATGTTATCTTATCCACAGACAGAACACAGAACCCACAGGAATCACTCTGTGAAGATAAAAGACAAGTTAAAGCAATGGCTTGCCTGAACCTCCTACCAAACCATGGAATAAAAGTACACTGAAGCCAAACAACCTATGCCAGAGCTGCTGCCTGGTCTTGCTACAATGCATCACAAGGACTGTGCTCACTGACCAGGTCCAATCTTTCTAGAAATGTCCAGTAAAACCTGGCATCAACTTAGACAAGAATAAAACCCACCAGCAAGAAGCAGACAGAAGCAGTGCCAACACACCTCAACAGAGAAAAAAGATGCAAGCCCCAGTGAGCTGCAGCCACCAACACTCCTGGGCCCCGAGCCCCCAGCCCCACAAGAGCACTCCCATGTCTGTGTCAAACCACCTGCCCTCAGGGTAAGGAAATCCTTGGTCTTGCAGGAGAATGCCTGTGATGTCTAAAACTAAGCAATAAAGAGCACCGGAGAATCCCACTTTCCAGCATCCCTACCTCCACTGGCACTCAGCTGAGACTGGATTGTGCCCCACAGCTCCGGCAGTGCCGAGCCCACCTCTGCCTTTGTGCATTATTTTGTCCTCCAGCACAGTTGAGAGCACTAAAGCCCCCAAAGGCCCCACCGGTCCGCAGGATGCCCTCTTTCTCCTGCAGAGCTCACCTTGACGAAGCGAGGGCTCGCAGTGACGGTACCTGCACCCGAGCTCGGCGGGACACCAAACTTGAGCCCAGCCCAGGAGCCTCCTTCCCCCTCGAACACCGCGAACCGTGGCAGGATGAACCCACCGGCGGCGCATCCCGGCCTAACAGGGAGGGAAAACGGAGCATCCCGCAGGGAAGAGCGATACCAACCTTGGCTTACCGAGGGCTCTGCGCGGGGACCCGCGTCGGCGCCAGCTCCAGCCTAACTCATCCCTCCGTGGGAGGTGGGAAGCGACAACCATTTAGGGAGCGCGGTCGGGAGCGCAGAGGTACTTTCAAACTGGCGAGGCGGCCTGCTCGGCATGGCCCGGCCCGCTCCCGCCGGGCCCGGGCCGCCTCAGGGCCGCGGGGTGCGGGGGCGGCCGGGGAGCTCGCAGGCCACCAGCAGCCGC